GAAAATAAATGTTATAGTACATAGAGATAGGGGAAGCATGTGATTTCTATGCAACAGTGCTGGTGATTCGTTATTTAGCCACTCAGTTCTGTCATGAGGCACTTAGCTCAGTCATCTGGAGGTAAAGAGAGAGTCATGAGTTGGAGCTTTCACAGGGCTTTCTCTCTTCACTTCCAGCTGCTGAATGGAGGAGTGGTGGAGTATAAGGTAGTGAGTATCTGTAGCTAGGGAGGGCAGTAGTTTAGTCAACCTTTATTGCTTTACTATCAATGGACAAAGTCCAGGTTCTCGTTTGCATAGGTGTATATTTTTTCATTTAGGCACACAGATGTTTACACACTGACAAGTCTCCTAGCACAAAGTCCCCATCGCTTTCCAGCACCTGGAGTGCCATGTACAGCCACCAGTACAAGTGAATGGCTGAATGCGACCACGCTTGTATAAACGCTGATTTCTTCTGCATTGCCATTTACCCACGCATGCCTGTATGGAAGTTTCACATTTGGGGAAATATGCGGAAGCAATTGATGTTTACCCACGTACAGCTGCGGACAGAGAATCACTTGTATTGGCGGTTGTATGCTCCCCAGGCTTGGTAAAAGATCTTCAGGTGTTTGACGTTACTGTTTATCCACTAAAAAAGGTTCTCTGAATGGAAATATCTACTACCTTGTGTCTGCATCTTATGGTTAGCTTACTCATACATTACTTGTTAGTTGACTCATACATTACCAGTGTCAGCGTCATTGCCTGTGAGAACAGCATGTGAATTTAGTAACATCTAGGTATCCTTTTCCCCACACTTTGTTCAAAAACACTGGAAACATCTTCCCACTAAGGTCAGCCATAGACGGTTCAAACCTTAGCCAGTTCAGCAGGAACCGGACAAGATTTGAGCCATGTATGGACAGGCTGAATGTACTCTTAGGTTGTAAGCTCCAAGGAGCAGGGCCCTCCTAACCAGGGGCGGACTGACCATTTGGAAACTCGGGCACTGCCCAAGGGCCTGGGGTCAGTAGGGGGCCCCATGAGATGCCCCTGGTACCATTTTCATAGGCTTTTTTGAGTTTGGGCAAGGACACAGGGGCCCCATGATCCCCTATTGCCCGGGGGCCCCATGAGTTGTCAGTCCACCCCTGCTCCTAACCCTCTTGTATTGAATTGTATTGTTGCTGTATTGTCTCCCTTTATATTGTAAAGCACTGAGCAAACTATTGGTGCTATGTAAATCCTGTATAATAATAATAATAATACCCAAGTTGATCAAGCAGTCAACCTGGGTACAATCAGCCTGCCGGACTTTACATGCTATTATCGCTAGCGGCTGCTATAGTCGCAAGCAATTGTCAATGTGTTCTCCCAGCAGGGACTGCTCCCCCTGCTGGGAGAACATAATGGCTCTGCGGGAGGGATTCACCTGTTTAATACTGTCTTTGTTTATTGGGGAATCAAGTAAACTTCTTTCCAACAACCCTGTGGTTGTCGGAAAGAAATGTGCTCTGTATATGGCCTGTCTTATTCTCATGCTGATGAATACTCACAAAAAAATGCATTGTCTCCACTCAGCCATCCGACACACCTCATGACATCATACTGCACAAATCCCCACAACACTGGATTATGAATCATCCCACCGTTAACTACTTAGCTGCTTTCCATACATATATGCTTCTCAGTTCACGAGATATTCCTCCCACAATGTTTGGACTGCTTTGGTTAGCAGGCATAAACAAACTAAAAAGAACTTTCAGTTTAAAACCTCAACAATAGGGACTAGTATGTAAAGTGAAATGCTATTCTCCTGTATCTTATTCTACCCACTGGAAAAAAAAAAGTTCAAAAACTTTAGGATGTGTAGCAGGAATTTACCAAATACTACAAATGCCACAGCTCAGCTGTAAACCTCAAAAACCGTTATTAAAAGTCCATGGTTAAGGCAGTGGTACAACTAATGCAGTATGGCTCAGCAGCCTTAGGCTCCTTTCACACTGATCCGCCACAAAAACACAGCAAAAACGCATAGGCGCTTTTACAGTGCCTTCTGAGAATTTTTAAAGGACACGTAACTTAAAAACTGCATCAAAAACGTTTCTGAGAGGTGTTTTTGAGGGGCTTTCAGGTGTTTTTCAAGCGTTTTTTCAGGTGTTTTCCATTTATTTCAATGGGAAGAGGCTTTTTTTTGGGCATTTTTTTAACTCCCCAAACATGCCCCAAAGATGCTGCTAACAGGAGTCTTTACACTGCAATGCCTCAGTGTGAAAACATACATAGATATACATTCACATACACAGGGAAGCAGTTTTCTTGAGCTTTTCAGGAACTTTTTTTTAATGCAAAAATGCTTGAAAAACTCCTCAGTGTGAAAGCAGCCTTGGTTTTTAGCTCTTTAGTCTGTGACAAAGACTGCTTTGATGAAACACCTTTTTAGCTTTTGCATCACTAGAATACAATAGCACATCGGAGGAGAGCTCAGCATCCACACTGGCTAAATGCTTATCACTTCCACCTGGCAGTACTAAGGTCGTTGGTTCGAATCCCAACCACGGCACCACCTGCCTGGAGTTTGCATGTTTTCCCTGTGCCTGCGTGGGTTTCCTCCGGGTACTCCTGTTTCCTCCCACACTCCAAAGACATGCTGGTAGGTTAAATAGATCCTCTAAATTGGCCCGTGTATGTATGAAGGTACATTAGGGACTTTAGACTGTACGCCCCTTGAGGGTTGGGGACTGATGTGAATGTAATATAATATATATATATATATATATATATATATATATATATATATATATTATATATATATATATATATATATATATATATATATATATATATACCCTGTTCCAAATTATTATGCAAATGATATTTTTCTCATTACCTAAATAATTGATGTAAATAACAGTCAGCATAATTCTCATGTTATCAACTATTAAGAGTACAATTCAAATTTTATTGAACAAACCTCTTAATAACAGGATTTTTTTAAAACATAAAAACACTACCAATGCAATGTTCCAAATTATTATACACAGTAAGTTTCAAAACACTTTATAGGTTGTAAAGAACTGAAAATTGTCATTTGTTGTGTTTGCAGCATATTTACTGAAATCAAAAGCTATTTCAATCAAACTTTTAACAACATTTTAACTTTTTAAACATTTTTAACAGGTCATGTTACATTTTTAACATAGGGCCCCTTATTTGATAGCAGCCTCACAAGTCTTGCATCCATTGAACTTGTGAGTTTTTGGACAGTTGCTGCTTGAATTTGTTTGAAAGATGTCAGAATAGCCTCCCAGAGCTGCTGTTTGGATGTAAACTGCCTCCCACCCTCGTAGATCTTTTGCTTGAGGATGCTCCAAAGGTTCTCAATAGGATTGAGGTCGGGAGGATGGAGGCCACACCATGACTTTCTCTCCTTTTATCCCCATAGTAGCCATTGATGCAGAGGTATTCTTTGCAGCATGAGATGGTGCATTGTCATGCATGAATATGATTTTATTACGGAAAGCATAGTTCTTCCTTCTGTACCAGGGAAGAAAGTGGTCAGTCTTAAACTCCACATACTTTGCAGAGGTCATCTTTACACCTTTTGGGGATCCTAAAGGGGCCGACCAGCTCTGTTCCCATGATTCCGGCCCAAAACATGACTCCACCACCACCTTGCTGACGTCACAGCCTTGTAGGAACAGGGTGGCCGTCCACCAACCATCCACTACTCCATCCATCTGGACCATCCAGGGTTGCACGGCACTCATCAGTGAACAGGACTGTTTGAAAATTAGTCTTCATGTATTTTTCTGCCCAATGCAGCCGTTTCTGCTTGTGAGCATTGGTTAGTGGTGGCTGAATAGAAGGTTTATGCACAGTTGCAAGATTCTGGAGGACTCTACACCTTGATGTGCGTGGGACTCCAAAGGTACCAGCAGCTTCAAATATCTGTTTGCTGCTATGTAATGGTATTTTAGCAGCTGCTCTCTTGATCCAATGCATGGATCTGGCAGAAATCTTCCTCAATGTGCCTTTATCTGCACGAACCCGTCTGTGCTCTGAATCAGCCACAAACCTCTTAATAGTGCGATGATCATGCTTAAGTTTTCGTGAAATATCTAATGTTTTCATACCTCGTCCAAGGCATTGAACTATTTCACTCTTTTCGGCAGCAGAGAGATCCTATTTCTTCCCCATATTGCTTGAAAATGGTGCTCTGCTTAATAATGTGGAACGCCCTCCTTTAGTAGTTTTTTCCTTAAATTGGGCTCACCGGCCAATCTAATTATCACAGGTGTCCGAGATTGTTTTCAGTGATCAAAAGAGCCCTGAGACACATGGCCATCCATGAGTTAAACTGAAAAACAAAATATTTAATCTTTGACACTTAAATAGAATTTGTATAATAATTTGGAACTGTGTGTGTGTGTGTGTGTGTGTGTGTTGTGTGTGTGTGTAAGTAAATTGATGGTGCTATATAAGTACCTGTAATAAATAATAAAATTTATCTCTTGCAGGGATCCAATTTTTTTTTTTTCCTTTAACCTGGTTGAACAGATAAAAACGTACAGTATTTTCAACTTTAGTGAATTTACTCTTGGGACACACTCCCCAGCATAAGAAAGCCCTTCCTGACTCACTGGTCTCATACCCTGACACCTCTAAATATAAGTTGTTGAAACCAACTTGCGGTGATTGCTGCTTGATGCACAAGTCTGACCATTGGAGGATAGGCAGGCTGTTCTCCCAGCATAGCCAGAAAACCACTGGGAAGGATATTTTTCTATGGCTGGCATGGTCAGTTTGAAACAAGAGTAGGTGGACTGGCAGGATTACAATGTATTTCACACAAAGTAAGCAATACAGAGAGAACAAAATACTTGTTAAGTGCTGTACATGGTACGACAGACACGTATCAGACATATGAAATGTGTTGAGGTAACATGTTCTTTAACTGCTCAGCTCTGCCCTACTGCAGCCCATGTCAGGATACCCATTCAACAGCACAAGTCAGCACTAAGCTTCCACCAGCCTATTGCTCTAGGCCAGTGGTCGGCAAGCCGCGGCTCTTTACACATTTTAATGCGGCTCTTCTGTGTGCCGGGCGCCCACCTCCCCTCCCTCCTCTCGGGCGGCCGCCCCAAAAGTCAGGACTCTGCAGCTAGCCCAGCAATGGGCAAACTACGGCCCGGCGGACCTTTTAATCCGGCCCGCAGAGCGTGGCAAACATTGGCTGTCAGGATGTAGGCGGGGCAGCGTGACTAACTCCTCTCCTCTCACAGTCCGCCCTGAAGACCGGAACGGCGCGGGAACACGGCGAGAGGAACGCGCGGAGCAAAGGTAAGTGAATTGACACAATATGGGGGATGAATTACTATCGGGGGGATGAATTACTATATGGGGATGAATTACTATATGGGGGATGTATTTTCAGTTTTAAAAATGTGGCTCTCAAAATAAATTTCAATCGTGGTTTTGGCGAGATTTGGCTCAGTTGAAAAAAAAGGTTGCCCACCACTGCTCTAGGCCAATCTTTCTCAACCTTAGTTTTGTGGAACCCTGGGGTTCCTTCAGAGGTTGCTAGGGGTTGTTCAGCAATGAACAATCTCTGCCTCTCAGATAAGTAACCACTGACATCAATGATTTTTTTTACTTTCTGTAATGGAGAGGTTCTTTCCAGTGACCACAAATGTAAGGGACAGTCTTCTCAATGATCATAATGCTAATGTAATGTTGCCTGTAAGTCTAGTAGTATATTTAGTAGGGGCTCACTGAGACAAAAACATAATTTCAAGGGTTCCTCCTTGTTAAAAGAGTTGAGAGAGGCTGGTCCAGGCTCAACTCCAATGGCAACTACAGGAGCAGAGGCTTTGAATCCTATGGACCTGTCTTCAACTGCTCTTCCAGAGCTTACTGTGCAGTATGTGTTTTGGTTGTGTGTTCACTCTCATCCTGGCTTCTAGTAAGTCCTGGAAGAAGTATTCAACCAGTGAAATCTAAAAAATCCCAGCTACAAGTCTGCATATGTGCTTCAGGTCAGTGAAGTTCTAGACAGTGAAGTAAGGGTCAGAGTGACAGCCCCAGGGCATGCTCCTTCAAAATAGAAGTCATGTATAGCAACTTTATTTTACTGTTCCAAATGTAGTTTTTTTAC